GAGATCATCGCCACGGAGTCTGACCGGGACCTGGGCTGGGTTGCTGACATGCAGGCCACGCGGAGGAGGTGGACGAGGAGGCGGAGGACGAGGAGGAGGAGGAGGATTACGATGAGAAGGAGGAAGGAGGGCGACGACGACGACTGCCAGACCGAGCGACCGAGTGACCGTTGACGACGACGACGTACGACTCGCCCTCCACTGTCGTCGTCGCCCGCCAGTCGGCTTGGCGCGCGCCCGCGGGCGACAACACGGCGCAGCCCGTGTTCATCCTGGGCCGCGTCGTGCCCGACAGGAAGTGCGTTGTCGCCGCGTGGGGCGACGGTTCCGAGTGGGAGGTGCATCGGGGGGCGGGGCCGCCCCTCTCCCCCTCGCCCCCCTTCGCCCACGCACGCCTCGGACTGGAGCCGCCCGCCTGACCGCTCTGGGCCCGGGAGAAGTCGGCAGAAGAGAACGTCGCCAAGAATGGCGCGCCCGCCGAGAGTGGCCCCCCGAGAGGATCGGGCAGGCGGGGCATGCCGAAATAGCTGGCAAACATTTGTTGCAGTCGGCAGCAGTCAATACAGTTGATGCGACTTTTGGCAAGATCTTTAGGTCGGTCGAATATTCGCCAGCATTTGAAAAGCGTCTTCAGACGGGCAGAGAAGCAACCGTCAGCCGCGGCGAAGAACACGCGATGATGCAGAACACAAGACAGCGTTCGAAGCGGGAGAAACTGCGCGCAATCGCGTTGAACAGAATAGTCCCGCGCGCATCACGCACGGCGAACGGTGAGTTTCGCTTCTTCCGAATGGCGGCAAGGCCCGGCAAGGGAACTCCCCGCGAAGATGAATTTCGTCGCCGAGTCCTTCACGGCGGTAGAATGCCCCCGGTTCGGACACGCGCCCGCCGGCATCAGACAGACAGCGCGACGCGGCGGCATTTGACGTGGACAAAGACCCCAGGACGATCAAACGCGCGATCATAGAAGAGTCGGATCGCGCCTGGGCTGGAAAAAATACGAACGAGCCTTGACTCCACGATGACAAAGGCTTCCTCGCGCGGAGGATCGCCAACACGGTCGCGTAGATTTCGAGGGCGCGTTGATCCTGTCTCACTGCGCAACGGTGAGCAGATCGAACCGGCACCCCGCGGCTACGTCGCGGCGAGTAGAGCGCAGAATCTGCGCGACGACAGATGGACTGGCGACTGCGCCGCCGAAAAGGCCTCGCCGATGGACCCCAGGTCCTCGCCCCAGCTGGGAGGCGCGGGGCCGTCGCTTCACCTCGCCGCGACGAATGCAAGGCGCCCCCTTAACATCCTCGGCGGGGACTGGTTCGTTGGCGAGGCCGGTTCATCCGACGACGCCTGCGACAAGATTGATTGGGCGACACATGCGCAACGCGCGCGGCGCGCCACAATGGCCGCGCTAGTGGGGAAGGGCCCCCTTGAGGTGCAGTCCCCCGCCGAGAGTGCTACGGCCGCGCTCTCGGCTGGCAAGCCCAATCCGCCCCCTTCGGAAACGGCCCCCCAGAGCGATGACGGTCGGCAGGATCACATATCAGGTGGTCGCTGGGAGAGCGATAAAAGTAAAAATCGCGAAAAGGATAACAAGAAATGGCGCGGTCGGGGCGGCGGGGCCAGCTGCGCTGGCGATGGCCACGGGGCGGCGAGTGAATAGAGTAGGTAGCACACGGGCAGCGTTAGCGGCGGCCACTGGAGTTCGACGGAAGTTTGGAGAGGACGCATGCGGCTGCGAGTCTGGCAAGTGGAAAATGACGAGCGCGGCAAGTCTGCGTTGGACTACGAATTCGACAAGAACTGGGAGTTGAGAGAAAAGCACAGCGGCGGCTGGAGTATGTGGTGACCCAGGTCGTCGCGAGCCGCGATGACCCTTGTGCGACCTAGCGATTTACGCCGGGGTGCCCCGTGGGATTGCCGAACCAATTAGGGGCCCGTCGAGCACCTGGACCCGCCTCTGCAGCAGAAGTAAGCTCTGCGCCGAGGGCGGTCGCGGTGCATTTGTATTTGGGGCCGGCGCTTCTGGTCGCGGCGCGCCGAAGGATGGATCGCGAGGGCTCGGCGCCCCAGTGCCCGACGTGAGGGGGGTCGATCACATTCGGTTTTGCCCGCGCCAAGTTATTACCCATCCGCCTGCCGCTGCTGGCGCTTGGCGTTTTGGCTCAAGCTGTGCTTACCTTTTTTTTTCCAAGGAGGTTACGAGCCAGAGTGGTTTCGGGGCGCACGTCGCGCCCCGACCGTCGGAGAAAAGAGGCGCGCGCGTTGCTCCCGCCGGCGCATTGCCTTCGATCAACACGCAGGGACAGACCATGCAGCGTAGCCTCTCGAAAAGATTCCTTGGGCGAGGATGGTGCGGAGAAGATGCATCACCTCGGCTAGGTTGTCATACATGAAATAAAGACAATGCGGCACAGCAGAGAGGAAAAACACACACAGAGGTAATTACCTATTGTTTTACAGTGACAAAACAAGAAGGGACAAACAACAAAAATCAGCTTACCCTGATGCGCGATGTATCCACATGAAGCATACGAACATCATGATAACCATCCACATCATGGGGGACGTTTGTTCCATAGCGGGGTCCGTTATTCCAATTCCCAGATCTCCCGCCCAATGAGGTATTGCAGACACATCCCCCGAGGAATTTCATGATATCCCGCCTCGAGAACACATGCCCGTGCCTTGCTGCGCCGATGCGATACCGCCAATGGAACCCCAGCGAAGGGTAAAGCACAAAGAAGTATCGAACGACAGGGTTGCCTTGGTGGGGATGGGGGCTGTAGGCGGTGAGGCAAGGACCCGGCCCTGAATAGAACGGGAGGAAGTCTCGAGCAGGGCTGCTGTTGTTGCGGGGAGCGGCGCCAATGCTGAAGAGACTAGGGCGCCAGCCCAGCGTAAAACAAAACGAAGTCTCGAGCGGGAACGCTGGTTTTGTTGGGACGGCGGCTTTCGGCGGCGAGGAGGAACACCGCCTTGAGCAAGAAAGGAGGAAGAATCGAACGAGAGCCGTGGTTGTGTCGGGACGGGGGCTGTCGGAGGCGAGGAACAGCACCGTCCCGAGAAAAAAGAGAGTGAATCTCGAGCGGGAGCGTTGTTCTTGCTGGGAGCGGCGCCATGTCGAAAGAGAGTTGGGCGCCAGTCCGGCGTAAAACGGAAGGAAGTCTCGGGCGGAAGCGCTTGTTTTGTCGGGGCGGCGGTTTCCGGCGGCGAGGGGGAACACCGCCTTGAGTAAGAAAGGAGGAAGCATCGAGCGGGGGCCGTGGTTTTGTCGGGACGGGGGCGGTCGGCGGTGAGGAACAGCACCATCTTCAGGATTATCCCGGCAAAGCAACCTGACAGCGATGTGTAGGAGCATATCTGGAAGCATTCCCCTTAAGATTCAGATGAGAATCCAGTTGTAGAATTCTGATGTTCTCGCAGTCGTAGTCGCATTCGCGATGACAGTCGCAGTAGCAACGGCAGTCGCAGTCACAGCCTCAGCCTCAGCCTGCTCAGCCTCGGCCTCAGCCTCAGCCTCAGCCTCAGCCTCAGCCTCAGCCTGCTTCAGCCTCAGCCTCAGTCTGCCTTCAGCCTCGGCCTCAGCCTCAGCCTGCCTCAGCCTCAGCCTGCATCAGCCTCAGCCTCAGCCTCAGCCTGCCTCAGCATCAGCCTGCCTCAGCCTCAGCCTCAGCCTCAGCCTCAGCCTCAGTCTGCTTCAGCCTCAGCCTCAGTCTGCCTTCAGCCTCGGCCTCAGCCTGCCTCAGCCTCAGCCTGCCTCGGCCTCAGCCTCAGCCTGCCTCAGCATTCAAAATGTGGCCCAGGAATGGAGTTCTGGGAACTCGAAGAACACGAAGTGGCTTACAGTTGGCTCCGGGCATTCAAAATCATGCCCAGGAATGGAATTGGGAACTCGAAGACCACGAAGTGGCCTACAGTTGGCTTTGGGCATTCAAAATGTGGCCCGGGAATGGAGTTCTGGGAACTCGAAGAGCACGAAGTGGCCTACAGTTGGCTCCGGGCATTCAAAATGTGGCCCGGGAATGGAGTTCTGGGAACTCGAAGAGCACGAAGTGGCCTACAGTTGGCTCCGGGCATTCAGAATGTGGCCCGGGAATGGAGTTCTGGGACCTCGAAGACCACGAAGTATGTAACCGTTTGCTTAAAACGACTTCCGCGGATTCTCTCCGGATTCTGCCCGGACCCCCCTGGGGAGTCATGATGCTTTTAATTCTTTTGAGACCATTAGAAACCTATCAGTCTTCGCTGTTAGGTAATCTCGGGCTGGAGCGCTTGTTTTGTCGGGGCGGCGGTTTCCGGCGGCGAGGAGGAACACCGCCTTGAGTAAGAAAGGAGGAAGCATCGAGCGGGGGCCGTGGTTTTGTCGGGACGGGTGCGGTCGGCGGTGAGGAACAGCACCATCTTCAGGAAAAAGGAAGGAAACCCCGAGCGGGAGCGTTGTTCTTGCTGGGAGCGGCGCCAATTCAAAAGAGAGTTGGGCGCCAATCCAGCGTAAAACGGAAGGACGTCTCGGGCGGGAGCGCTGGTTTTGTCGGGGCGGCGGTTTCCGGCGGCGAGGAGGAGCACCGCCTTGAGTAAAAAAGGAAGGAAACCTCGAGCGGGAGCGTTGTTCTTGCTGGGGGCGGCGCCGATGAGAGAATGACTGGCGCGCCACTCCAAGGTAAAACGGGAGGAAGTCTCGAGCGGGAACGCTGGTTTTTGTTAGGACGGCGGCTTTCGGCGGCGAGCAAGAACACCAACCTTGAGTAAAAAAGGAGGACATCTCGAGCGGGAGCGTTGTTGTTGTTGGGGGGCCGGTTTTGGCGGTCCCCCAAACCGCTCGAGCGTGAGATTCATTTTCAATGAAAATGTAGCCCGCGCCTCGGCGAGAGCGCCAGAGCGCCTGAAAGGGGTCCAGCAGTAATAATTGTTTGGTAATTAACCTTCAACAACAAAAAACAAAAACGCCTGTGGGGGCAAGGCCATGCCAGTGGGAGTCGGATCGGTCACACGATGCTCAGGTGAGGACTTCGAGGACGTTGGGCAGGGCGAGTCGCTGACGAGTGCGAAGCGCCGCTTCCAAGCGGAGCACGCTACGCCGAGCGTCGTCGCCTGTGACGTCTGAGAGGCCACGCCACGCGGGTGCCGCAGCAGTTCCGGCGGGCCGTCTCGGCGGCGGAGTGCGACCACAGCTGCGCGCAGGCGGCCTTCATCGGAAACAACTTGACGGCATAACACACACGCGTCTTCGGATCTCCGCGCGGATGTACTGGATCGGCGGTGGCGCCTCTGGCGCCGCCCCTGGCGCGCCCCGCGCGCCACGGAGTGGGGCCCAGTGCAGATCCAAGGAATCCGCGCGGAGCTCCAAGCGTTGATGCTTGTGCTCCTCCACTCCTCCTCCTCCTCCTCCTCCTCCTCCTCCTCCTCCTCCTCCTCCTCCTCCTCCTCCTCCTCCTCCTCCTCCTCCTCCTCCTCCTCCTCCTCCTCCTCCTCCTCCTCCTCCTCCTCCTCCTCCCCTTCCTCCTCCTCCTCCTCCTCCTCCTCCTCCTCCTCCTCCGCCTCCTCCCCGTGCCTCCTCCACTTCAGGAGCCCGCCAGCATCCGTCCTCCTGGCCGCGCGAGCACCCGCGTCGAAGTCGGCTGCGGGTCTGCGTCCGCCCGGGGTGGCGCGGTGATGCCCTGAGGTCGGGGAGCGTCTCGATGCGAGGCGCCGCAGAGATCGATGGCCCTCGGGATGTGGGTCAGCCCGCTGTGTGTATACAGCCGAACCAAGGTATAAGATCGAGGTCGGTTCGGGGAGGGTACCCTAGTGTTCTTCGTGTTTGTTGGATGCTCTTGGTCCTCGGGATGTGGGTCAGCCCGCTGTGTGTATCGGGGGCGGAAAAGAGGGGGGTGATGACTAGGGGGGGGGATATCATGGCGGGGGCCATGATATTTCCCCAAATTTCATGGCGCCCCTTCATATTTCATTACGTCCCTGGCCCCCACGCTGGGCCGCGCACATGCCGCCGGTCATGATTTGCACCCCCCCCTCTTGGACACCCCCCTCTTGGCCGCTCCCGAGTGTATACCCGTCCGGTCTGCCGATAACACGCAGCCTGCGCTCGGTCTCCGTAATGCCGGCTGCGTCGTATGGGGAAATCCCAGCGGACATGCACACGTCGGCCTTCGCACACGTCTTGGGGGTCATCGAACGGAGCGCAGGTTACTCCATCGGGTGTTGCAAGAAGTACCCCTGGCCCAAGGTGCCCCTAGGATCCTCGGGGTGGCCCAGACGGCCTCCAGAGCACCCCTCACGAGGCCCAGAGGGCCCCAGTGGCTCCAAAATGGTGCGAAAAGCTGGGGGCACCTTGGGCCAGGGGCACTTCTAGCAACACCCGACTCCAGGTCTCCACGAGCTTGTTTTTTTCCCCCACTGGGGCGCAGCGGGTGTTGCCACAGGGGCTGCATCCGCCAGGTGGCGCAACCGTGCCCCGAGACGTAGGGGCGCGGCCCAGTGCGGGGCGCAGCAGGGAGCGCAGGCGACTGCAGGCTTCCATGAAGTCGGGCCTGTCCCTCTACCGGAGGAATGTTACACAATAGTTTAAACGAATTGCTTGGGGACGATGTTCTGCTTATTTGTTTGACATATGTTTGAGTATTTTCAGTTTTTCGCCCCAAATCCCCCTGTAGGGGGACATGCCCGACCCAAGGCTTCCAGGAGTTTGTTTTTTGCCCGCTGGGGCGCAGCGGGTCTTGAAGCGGGTGCGTGTCGGGGAAGCGTGAAGCTCGAGTTCGCCGGAGCTCGGGTTTGCCCGAGCGCTTCTGGGCGGGCCCACCCCCCGAGTTTTGGCGGTGCAGCTGTCGTGGGGCGTCTGCAGCGGGGGTTCGCGCCGAATTTCGGATGGGGTCCCGTCATTTTTCGGACGGCTCCGTCAGGCCAGCCCGAGTTCCACGAACCCGAATCTCACGTCTCCCCGATCATGTCGTGCCGATGTGGCGGCAGCCGCCCCGCCGTGGTCGTTCAAGGGTGATCGCCACCATTGGCCCGGACTCGACCAATCGTGAACGACCTGGCGACCGAAAGGTGGCCGATCATTCAAGATTGAACGATCCACGCGGTGGCAGAAGCCAACGCCAGCGTCGTCACTCAGCATCGTTTAACCGACCCCCATCCTCATCCTCATCCCCTTCGAGACCCCCACCAAATTACCACCCCACTTGGGGATACACCCCTCGAATCCCGAAGGGAACGGTCTATATCCCCATCTAGGGAGGTAAATCGGCCAGTGGGGCCCAGGCCACGCCGCTGGGGATGGGGATCGGTTAAACGATATTCAGTCACTACACGAATTGGCCGTACCACGTTGATGTATGGATCTGTACGTCTCCGCAGAAGGGGCAACGATCGGGGGGATGGGCTCAGGGGGGGACGCATCGACCCCCAATCGTCCACAGATCGCCGATAGGGGTCCAGCAGCCCGCACCGCCTAAGAACGTGCGGACTTGATATCGGAGGCCAATCGCCGACCTGTCGGCGACATAACTCCGATTCGAGGTTGATGTTTCCCCCCTTTGCCAGTCCCCGCGTGTCGGTGCCCACCAATCCGCAGGGTGGCACAATGATGCCCTGAGATCAGGGGGCGGCCCGATGCGTGACGCAGGGAGCGCAGCCCGTCTTTTTACCCGCAGGGGCGTCACGGGTGTTACCCGGGCTTCCCCCCCCATCTGATCTTGACCCTCATGTTTGCGAGGCCAGGCCGTGCCTCCTTGCAGGGCCGTGTCACAGCTGCGCAGGAGCCGCATAGTTCTCGTGGGCACCAGGTCTTTGCGACCACGTTCGTTGCTCTATTTCCCCACCCTCCTCTTCCTTCTCCTCCTCTTCCTCCTCCTCCCCCTCCTACCACGATCATCCCTCTGCTCCTCCTCCTCCTTTTGGATACGTAGAGAAAACAGGACCATAAGCGTTCGGAGATCTGTGCGGATTGCTCGTGACGGCGATGGTGTTGCTCCTCCCCTCGAGATGCACAGGCAATCACAGCTCTGCTGCAAAACACCCTAAGCAGCTTCACGCTGTGGCGGAGAGAGGGGAGATGACGGAGAGACCTAGAGTTCAGTCGGGCTTGTCCCTCTACAGGAGGAACATTTACAAATAGTAGAAACACAGTCTGGGTACCATGTTTCGAGTACTTCTTGAGAATGCTTAATTATTGTTTAGTTATTGTTTAGTGTTCTTCCAGAAGCCGCCTGTAGGGGGACATGCCCGACCTAAACCTCGAGCGATCGTGGATACAACAAGAGAAGACGGGATACGATCGGCGTCCGACCGATTCCAGGTCAGGGTCCGCCCGTCATCGCTCTCCCAGGAAACGAGAAGCAGGACCCTCACAGACAAGGTGCTTAGGGAGTAGCCAGAAGTCTCGGACTCGTCGATTCCCAGGAGAATAAGGAAAGCGGTGGGGGGAGACGAAAACCACCAACAAAAATGTAAAACATATGGGGATTCCTGGGCTTTGTGCACATATATGTGTATGCCCTGGGGCCCCTTTCAGTGTCGCCATAAGTCGTCGGAGGTCCGTGCGGGTTGTTCGCGTCGACGTTGTTGTTGGTTCCCTCTTCGAGACGTACAGAAATATTCATGAACATAGTAACATAGATGTACCCTGTCACAGTGTTCTTTTCTTTAGGCAAGCGTTCGTAAGCACCCTGTAGCAACCTCATCGGTTTCCTGCCCCTGGGGTCTGCACGACGAGCCGTGCATCCGTCTCTCCCCCTCCCTCGCTCTCTCGCCGCCGCCGCTGCTGCTGCCGCCCCTGTTGTCTCTTCCCCTCCACTGCATTGCCGAGCTGAGCGCCTGGGATCGCTAGGGCGGGCCCGTTCCGAAACGAAACGAAACGAACATAGTCGACGCCGGCCCGCCCCCTCGTGTGGCTGCCCCGCGGTGGGAGGAGGAGGATGAGGAGGAGGAGGAGGGGGAGGAGGAGGAGGAGGAGGAGGAGGAGGAGGAGGAGGAGGGAGGAGGAGGAGGGAGGAGGAGGAGGGGGAGGAGGAGGAGGAGGAGGAGGAGGAAGGGGAGGAGGAGGGGGAGGGAGGCCCGCGGGGCTGGCCTCCGTCGGCGCTGGCCCCACCCCTCAGCTTTGGCGTGCGGAGAGCCCCAGGGGAGAGGGGCCCAGCGCAGGCCCGAGAGCGCCGAGCGGACGGCCCGCAGCTGGAGGGGACAAAGGCACAGAGACGCAATGCATCGTCGACTCCCTGGAAAATCTCGGAAAATATGGGAGGTGGGGGGGGAAGACGAAGGCCCTGAAAAGATGGGAACAGATTGGGACTCCCAGGATTTGTGTGTATTCGTTTGTGTGTGCTTGGGCCCCTTCACCACAGCCCATGTGCGTGTGACCGAAGAAGCAAATCGTTGCGCGGTATACTCCAAACCGAACCTCCAGGTCGGTGTTGGAGGTCGCCGCGGCGACCGCCGCGGTCACGTCTCGGGCAAGGTTGTTGTCAAGGAGTGGCATGCCCCGTCCCAGCCCCCCCCCCACAAACGCACCTTCTGCTGCGATGCAGACGTGGGACATAATTCGTCACTCGTCGCGTACCCCCACCAGCCCATTCAGGAAACCCTGCCCATGAGAGTTGACGAGAAAAAGAAACAAAGAGACACATACAGTGAAACAGAGTTGGCAACCAGGGTGAACAGAGAGGTCTATGGGAGCAACGGGGTGACATTCGAAGGCCTCTTCGGGCCATCCCTGGGGCCCGCGTGAGGGCGCTTGAAGAAGGAGGAGGAAGAGGAGGAGGAGGAGGAGGAGGAGGAGGAGGAGGAGGTGGAAGACGACGGCGACGACGACGATGACGACGACGACGACGTCCATGACGACCATGACGACGAGGAAGAGGGGGAACAGGAGAAGGAAGCCGACGAGGGCAAGGCCGAGGACGAGCATGAGGAGGAGGAGGAGGAGGAGGAGGACCACGAGGACAGCGATGACGAGGACAGAGCCTTCAAAATCGCGTCGTGGAGCCCTCTTGGGACTTTGGGGTGATATTGCGGTCCTCCTCTTCCTCCTCCTCCTCCTCCTCCTCCTCCTCCTCCTCCTCCTCCTCCTCCTCCTCTTCCTCCTTTTCCTCCTTCTCCTACTCCTCCTCCTCCTCCTTCCCCTCCTCCTCCTCCTTTCCTCCTTCTCCTCCTCCTCCTTCTCCTCCTCCTCCTCCTCTCCTCCTTCCTTCTCCTTCTCCTCCTTCTTCTCATCCTCCTCCTCTTCCTCATGGGAGGGTCTTGGTGCCGTCGAGGGGCTCATCCGGGTGTTTTTTTTTTCCGGCGCCCTGGCGGACCTCTTATGTCGTGGAAGGCGTCAATGGATAGAGAGGGAGTCGGAACGTTTGGTGCCCCCCATCTGGGGCCATCAAGCTCGCCGCTTGAAGCCCTCGTGGGGTCTTCTTGGGCCGCCCGCGGGCGCTGTTGGGACCATTCAGGGGGCCTCTTGGGCCCCTCTTGGGCCTCTTTTGGGTCACCTTGGGGTCTCTTGGGCAGCTCTCGGGCTTTCTAGGGGCCGTCGAGGGGGCTTCCTGGGCCTTTCGTTGACCTCGTGTTGGCCATCTTGGAGTCATCTTTTTGAAGGCTTGAAGAACGCACCAGAGGTCGAAAGGCGAGAAGTCAACAATCATTGGTTTTCTCTGCAGTTCTGGAAGAGCTTTGATCCTGGACGGAGATCAAAGGTGAGCAGCGCGAGCTACCCGCTGCCGTTCTGGCCCACAGCGGCGCGCAGTTAATAATTGTTTAGACAGCTTGCTGGCTACTATCACGTGAGATAACTGTTCATCGTGCGTTGACCACGCATCCTCCTACATTCTCTGATCCATGACCGTTCTCGTCATGCCTTACCTACCTTACGTCATGATGGCTGGAATTCGGGGGTCGTCTAATAAGATGTACGCACAACGGTTTGCCAACCCACTTCCGAGTAAGTGGCGGAGTTGCCCTCATTACCGTGTGATTGGCCACGATGTTCTCATACTTCTATTCCACGGCACAGCTTGCTGGACTATGCACGTGGTGGTTCCTACCGCGCCAAAGCTCCTTCGCGGAACCAAGCGAGGCCATTGGCTTACATTTGACGACGCGCCAGTCGACGGCCACTTCGACCACAGCGCGCACGCCATTGCTATAGGCCACTTCGCTCCCAACCACCACCAACTGCCAATGGTCAACAGGTTTCGCCACCATGGAATCCTGCGCGGCTCGGTACCACTGCGCGGACAGGCGCCACCACCCATCCGCAAGATGGCGGCCACGTCAGCCCCAGGAAAATAACACCATCACATCCGCGATCAAGATCCCTCCATGCACGGTATAAATATCACCGTTTTCGGCGTCACATGGGTATGCCGCGGCATTGCAGTCGGGAGCGCGCAGCGAGGATGGGGCCCGATTGGGACCCCGGCAGGTAACGGATCATTCCGCGAGTTCGTCTGCGAAGCCAATTCATGGTTGAACTTTCTTAGCGGCGCGACAGCAAGCCGCTGCATCCGAGCGAAGCCCCGGTGCCTTCGCGAAGACCAGCGCGGCGAGGTCGCCGCCCCACGCCATCGCCTACGGCGCAAGCACCCGAGGCCACCGCACCGACGCAATTACATACATCATGGTTCTCTTTCACAAGCAACATGAATAACGAATCGATGCTGTCCTCGCCCGCTTCGGGATTGCCTGTCCGGAAGCTGATTTCAGCAGGCATCAAGATTCCCAATTTCCAGGTCTTGGCGCATTTCCTATTTGGGGCCCTTGGAGTAGGACCTCCAGGGCCGCGCAGCCCTCGCGACCGCCCAACCGCCAGATGCCCCGCCCTCAACAAAAAAAATACCAAGCGTTGGAGCGCATGCGCAGCTATGGCCGCGCAGCTGAGCGCGCCCCAGTAAATCTCGGCGGCGTCTTCAGTGGACGCGGAAACTACGCGGGCACATTCCGCGCCGCAACCGGCACGTCCCAGGCCGGCGCGGGGGCACCTGCACTTGGGCATCGGGGGGGGGGGGGGGCGCGGGCCCCTCAGAAGCCGCGGCGCCACCGGGCCAGGAAACTGGCGGCGCGCAATCCAGCGGCGCCACATGGGCACCGCGCCACAAGCGGCCCACGCCCCAAGGCGGAGAGATGTCGGGCAACAACCTGCCTAGCCCCCAGCACAGACTCCGGCCGCTTCATCCCCGCGCATTGAAGACCGTGGACAGACGCGCCAATGCACTGCGCTAGCGAAAATATTGCTGAGTACTTACGTCTAGAATACCTACGTGCTCTGCGTCGTTGGGGACGATTCGCCAAGAATTTCATTGGACGCGCCTAGCGTCTCGCGCGGCGCCCATTCCACAGCGGGGGAGAAGAGGCGAGGCGCGGGCAGGGGGCGGCGGAGATATGCGCGGCCGCAGGCTTCGCTGCGGGATGCGAAGGGGGTCGGGCTGGGCGCCAACGACCCAACGACCCCTTCGCGTTGCACGGCAATGAAGAGTACGCCGCTTCGTTCCGGGACTGGCCAGGAACGCCCCTGCCCGCGCACGGCGGCGCGCTAGAGGAGAGCGACGTCGAGTTCATCATGGGCGGCGAGGAAGCGAACCTGGACGCCACCTTAGAGAACGAGACCCAGCCAACCACCCAGGACGAGCACGACGCCCATCTGCACGGACCTGCGCCAGGCATTCCCCACGCCCAGCCACGGGCCAGCCCTGGCGATCAGCGGCGCCCCTGCCGAGGAGTCGAGCGACGCCAGCCGGGGCAGCTCAGCCGGGGCGGCCTTCGTCGCCGGGGCGCAACGGGCAGGCTCTTCTGACGCCCTCGCCAGCGAGTGTCAGGGCACAGGCCGACTTGGTCAAGGCCGAACTGGCGCCCGCGACGACTACGCTTGCCGGCGCCAATCAAGAGGTTGGA